ACACACACACACACACCAGTTCTGACGCCTGTTGACAGATAGTCTCTCTCTCCTTCTCTCTCACTCACACATCTACAGTGATTCAGTTGACAGAAGGCAAAACGTCAATCGCCTCAATACAGACTTCTGTTCTGGTGTTGTGTTGTGTTGTGTTTGTGTGTGTGTGTGTGTGTGTGTGTGTGTGTGTGTGTGTTTTGCATTAGCAAATGGTTCAAAACATTCCCATCGGGATGCATCGTCGTCCCATACATTCCTTGTGTGTGTCAGACACTGGGCTGTACCACGCAGTGTCTTTCTCACTCCCTTCTGATCTCCAGCCCCACCCACGCGCTTTCCTCTTAGGTCAGAGGGTCAGGCATGAAGTGAGGACTTTGTGTCTGGCTCCAACAAGTCCTCGCTGTTCTGGCTCAAACACAGAGACACATGACACACGTGCAGTATGACTTTTGTTGTCTCATAAGTGTAAAGAGGAGGCTTTATTAGTCCAAGGTGAGCTGAGAACAGCTGCAATGTGTTTTCACCAGCAGCAGAGGCAAACTTTTTCTTGCTTTGGCTTTTCGGTAACAACACAGGCTAGGTAGATTGAGGCATTACTGGGACTACAGCAGCTAAACAAAACACATCTGCAGTTGGCGGCTGTTTTACTTATCTCAGTCTGAGGTAATTTCTATTTTAAGCAACATTAAATATTCTTCCAAATCCTGCCATCCTTTCTCTTTATTTACCAATATATTTTCTAATCTGTAATCAGTGCTATTACCCTATGTCAGAGTCTCTCTCCTCTCTCTCCCTCATTCTCTCCTCTGCTCTTCCTGCGTCATCGTCGGCGGCTTGATGCCAGAGAGAGAGGACAGGAGAGGAGGGAGGGGAGAGGAGACAGAGGACACAGGCGTAAGCAGGACAGAAAAAAAAAAGTGGGTTTTCCATTAGAGACAGAGTGACTGTGGGTCACAGATTACCAGACAAAGAATAAAGACAGAGACAAAAGAATACACACACAATCCCATGCACTCAATGGAGTCGATGTTATTAAACCATTTTCAATTCCAGTTTCAACCAATTTGTAGATGATAAGTCATATTAAAATGGGACTCTATTGTTTTGTTCATTCCCTGAACCAATTTGCACCAAGCAGATAGGAACCAAAGTTATGACTAGCTCTCATCCTAATAGCTATGACTAACCGATATTAATCAGCCCAACCACCCATCATGCTCGGCGCAAAAGTACTGAACCCACTAGAGGGGACCAGTGGGTCCCCTCGCAGCGCAAATACATCCAAAATTCTTTTCTTCCATAAAGATAATTTCTGATATTAGTTATAGAAAAGGAAACATCCATAAGTGGTTACCTTAGGCAGCCCTAATCCCGGTGACGTAGACTCTCTGCTGCTGGGGCTGAAAGCATGCGAGTGAACCAAAAACAACAAGGTGCCGCAAACACACACACACACACACATACACACACATACAC